AAAAGTCCCAAGTGAACTCTAAAAACCTTAACCTTAGTTGTGATACCAATTGTCGCGGAAGCTAATCGATCTTACAATTGAATTCTAACACAAGAAGAAAACATTACTAGAGAAACCAACGAAGAGCAATCAAGACACTAGAGATTTACGCGATTCGGTCAAAGTGTTGGTACCTACTCTATGGTGAGAACCAGTCACAAAGAAATTCCAATATGAATTTGAAGAATTACAACGTTTACAATCGCTTAATAGTTCAAGTGTTTCTTAATACTAAGTTACACCCAAAGCAAAACCCTAAAGTTTTTTTTTTACAGAATCCCTCACAGAAACTCACTCAGAAAAGTCATAGAGAAAAAACTCTTAGATTTCTCTTGCTTGCACTTTTGTGCAATAACCGAGTAGAATTCCATCTTTATATGTTCTAATCTGACTTGTTAATTCAAACTAGGAAACCTACTCAAATAAAAATTCCAATTCCAATGTGAAAAGTATTTCAATAATTTCTTATTTTTCGGACATGAAACCATAAGTCCGATATGGATTTGAAATTTCTATTTAGTTTGATTTTGTGCAATAACCGAGTAGAATTCCATCTTTATATGTTCTAATCTGACTTGTTAATTCAAACTAGGAAACCTACTCAAATAAAAATTCCAATTCCAATGTGAAAAGTATTTCAATAATTTCTTATTTTTCGGACATGAAACCATAAGTCCGATATGGATTTGAAATTTCTATTTAGTTTGATTTTGGTTCACTGGCTCAACTCGAGACATATTCTCCACAACATATTATAACAATAAAAATAACGCCAAGATCTGAGGAAGACCTCATCCCAAATCCTATTTAAGCTAGCGCTGAAGATTCTCACGTCTAGATCTTATCCTTGAAAGTCACCAACTAACTCGTCTTAGGCTGGCTCATTGTTACCATATTTAATCGAGCATATCTCCTTTTCACCAAGATAATTAATATGACATATTTGCCACTTGGTGCTAAACACAAAACCCACCGACTGATTCAAAACATATCCTGGTGAAGTTCTCGCCGCTATACAAGACTTTCTTTCTTCTGCTTAGTCTTCATCCTCTCCCTCTAATGTCTCTCTCTTTTTGCATGGCAAAGACGACTGGTCCACCGAGGCTGGACTCGACAGCCGAATGTTGGTGATACGATGGTCCAGATATCTATATATGTGGAATTTCTCCTAAAACATGATAGTTTTATAGAAAAGGAAAGAGAAAATGATGCAAATAGTCCCGAACTTTGATCCAATGTGCAATGTGGTCTATGAACTTTTAATTTGTTCAATGTAGTCCCTGAACTTTGATAATGTGCAATGTCATCCCCGAACTTTTTAATATGTTCAATGTGATTCCTAAACTTTTGGTACATGTTCAATTTAGTCCCTACACTATATGAAAATATTCAATATTATTCCTAAACTTGAATGAATGGAAGGATGTTATTGGACATTTTCATATGGTTTAGGGACTAGATCGAACATTTACTAAAAATTCAGGGACTGCATTGAACAAATTAAAAGTTCATGACTCATTGCATATTGTGTTAAAGTTCAGAGACCACATTGAACAAATTGAAAGTTTAGAGACGGCACGCACAATTGACCAAAGTTTAGGGACCATTTGTGTAATTTTACCAAAAGGAAAAGAAGAATAATTCGACGGGTTCGGATGACGCGTATCCGAGATTCCTTATATTTAATTGAGTCGGAAATGAAATTCTTAATATAGAAATCCGATTCGTGTTGGAGTCGAATTTGGGATAGACTCCAAGGCTTTGGATTAATATTGTGGCATATGACCAGTGTCTCAATCCAATCTGCCTTCCGTCCTTAAGTGGCATATTTACCTTCTCTAGAGTATATGATTAAGAGGAAAAATTGAACGCAAATCTTGGTTGCACTTGCCAAAGCTCCCTCTCTTCTTCCTCCTGTTATTGTTTTTAAATTTTGTCCTTTTTCTCCCCCATGTTCCGTGAAGGAGAAGATTAGCATCACACGTTTACCTACGTGACAATAGACGGCTAAAGCAAACTGCTGACGCCTCAATTTTAAAAAAAAATACAAAATCAGAAAATACAAATATATATATAGCAGAAATCAAAAAATAGCAAAACAAAAAATATAGTAACGAAAAATAGCAAGAATAAAAGGGTCATGAGAATAAAAAAAATATATAAAGAAAGAAAGAAGGAATTTCCACAAACAAAAAAAAAAGAGAGCCAGAGCTGGCTTCTTCCTTCTCACTAGATCTATCAAAATGGGTCATAAACCCATTTCTTAACCCATATATTAGTAAATGGATCATAAATGGGTTAGTTATATTTAGTAAATGGGTCATAAATGGGTAGAAGTCTAATATTAGTATTAAATGGGTCGTAAATGAGTTTACAACTGATTTAAACTCAACTCATCTCTCTCGCCCTTATTCAACCTTGCGCTCACTCACTTCGCACTCTCATCTCAGTTTGGGTATAAATTTTCGTAAATTTAATTAAATATGGAAGTGTTTTAGCAATATGGGTCTGATCGGGTATGGGTTGGGTTGGGTATAGGCGGGTCGGGTATGGGTCAAGAAAATTGCATTACGCATAAATGGGTCATAAATGAGTTAATTGGTCAATTTCGGTCGGACCACTTATGACCCGACTCAAATCCAAATCCGACCTGACCCACCCATGTGACAGGTCTACTTCTCACCCGCGTCTGTGAGCGACCCAAAAATGACTGAATTTGTGTGCATCACCAATCGGTGGACAGAATCAGGGCCAAGAAATTCTAGAAGGCTGGATGAGCTGGCTAAATCCAGTTACAGAGGAATCTTCCAAAGGGGATTCAGTTGGAGGGGGAGATACTCGATGGATACTGGCCCGAGAGAGGGAACTCGGAAAAAAAAAACACGTCGCCGGAAGAGAAGGGTCCGAAGAGGAAAGCGTTCGGTTCCTCTATTCACGTGGAGGATTACCGGCAAATTTCCTCTCCCTTTGATCTCCGGTCGCTCTTCATCTTTGCCGGAAAAGTTTGTCCGTCACTTTGGTTCGTTACTTCGGAAGTGCAAGTCGGTGTTGTTCGTCACTGTTTAGCTACACCAGAGGACTCCCAGACCTGTCGCATTCCTGTTCGTAGACGATCTTGAAGACTTCCTTCCAAACCAGGTGAGACTTCTTTCTTGTGTGTACACTGTTTTTTTTTGGTAAGGATGTGTGTACACTGTTTTGGCCTAGAGAAGGTGATCCGACTGCTGAGTTTGTAAAAAATCTTGCTAAAATGCGACTGGCCTGTTATAGAGTAACTTGATTTAGATGCTTATGCATAGCTTCTCGATTGAGAATCATGTTCAAATCAAACAGGAAGTTCATCCTTTAAGTCCCACAACACCTGTCTGACAAAATGCTTAAATGAAGAACCGAATTGATTTTTGTGAAATCGATGCGTGGAGCTCGTTCTTTTGTTCTTGATTTGTTCTTTGATTGATGAATCAATACTGAATCCGTGTTTTTCCTTGATTCTGTGGCATTCATGTATAACGGTTTGGCCATGGATGAGACTTCCGTTGGAGATATATTCCCGTCGCCGGAGCTAAGCCAGCAGTTTGAGGCCGCCCCAGTGAGTTCTCTATCCTTGTTTCGTGTGTTCATGTGTGTTTAGATTTAGCGTGTTTGATTAGATGGAGATTGGTGACCGATTGAATAAGAGGCTCTGTTATTTTATTGTGGCCGGTGTGTGATGAGGGACAACGGTGGCTGTAAGTTGTAGTCGACGGAAGTTCGGCAATGGCCGGAATAGATGGCCGACGGCGAGGGTTAGAGAGTCGGTGGTAATAGATTCCCGATGGTTTTGGTAAAGTGCGGTGTAGAAACTTCGGTGAAGGCAGGAAGAAGAAGACCAGAAAAATAGAAATAAAAAATAAAAAGAAGAAGAAACAAAAAAGGGGAAATAAAGAAATAAAAAATAGAAAATAGGGATAAAAAAAAAGGGAAATAAATCAGAGTCGGGTCAGATCTTGTTACTCGGGTCAGATTTGAGGTCGGGTTGGAGGACTGGGCTGCAAAAAGGATTCAATGTGGGTGTGATTGGGTTGAACTCGAAATTGGGCTAAAATGAATTAAACAAAAGAAGTTTGAAACTTGGGCTTGATTTGTTGTGATGGCCCATCAGAAGAGACCCAAATTCAGACTGGGCCCAAGGACCGGTCCGAATTGCGAGTCTGACCCGGACTGCGAGAGTCCGGATCAGACCGGCTAATTAGACCGGGTTCCTTGACCGGGTCCAGAGTCCTTTTCTTTTTTCGAAATAAAAAATAAAAAATAAAAAATTTCAGAAAATTCCGAAAAATAAAAAATGCGAGAAAAGGTAAAAAAATGTAGAATTCTCTTGGTTTAGGGCTTTCAATAAACACTTTAGGCTTGAACAAAAATTGAATCCAAAATTGAATAAGCCTTTAGGGCTTTACTTTATGAATTTTTTTATTGCTTTTTCTTTTAAAGATGATGCTAGGTCGTTGTTTCTGTATTTTCATATTTAATTTCAATTGATTGTGCATTTTAAATACTTTGTTTGTTGTTCTCTTTCAAATGGTTAGGACGAAATTTCAAGATTCTCGGTTAGTAAAAAAGACTGCCCCGACATGTTGGTTAACAAATAGTCAAGTTTAGGTACCGAAGGGCATTAGTTGAAAAACTAGTGTAATTAAGTTTCCGATCCCTAAAAATCTCTAGTTGCATATGTATCGAGACGATACTCTCACGTTTCGATTTTAGGGTTTTTAGCCAACTTTTAATCGTGGCTAGTGGTGACTTCAAATAGAGCACTTAAAATTTAGATAACCAACGTCATGCGAGGTACAGACTTAGGGAGTATCTCGTAAAGTACCTCTAAACCTACTTCTCCCGAGATGGCCTTGGATCTTTAGGTCGCGACACAAACAAAAGTTGGAATCAAACCATAAGTCAAAGCAACATTAATAATATACTGTGTCCATTATCCAAGCTGCATTTTCACAGCAATAATATACTACATGCATATAAATACCTTCACAAGAAAAGCCTCAAACCAACCCTTCATCTTCTTCTTCAGCCAAGACCTATAGCTAGCTTGAAAAACTAATCCACCACACAACCATGCCTCAATCTCAATCCCTCCCAAAGTACTTGCAAGAAGACGACATCTCTCAAGAATGCAGAGACCTCCTTTCCTCTCTCCCCTGCGAACAAGGCTGGGTCGTCACCTCCCTCTACCTATACCAAGGCTTTTGGGTCCCTCCAAAGCAATTGAAGGGTATCCTCACTTGCCAGAGACACTTCCAAGCCCGAGACACCGACGTCCTCCTCGTCACCATCCCGAAGTCCGGGACCACCTGGCTCAAGGCCATCCTGTTCGCCCTCCTCAACCGGGCCAAGTACTCAGGCTCAGGCTCGCAACCACAGCACCCTCTGCTGAGCCAAAACCCTCACGACCTCGTGCCCTTTCTGGATTTCGAGCCCTACCTTGAGCAGGACGCTCCCGACCTTGCCTCACTCCCGCCCCCGAGGCTCTTCGCCACCCACTTGCCTTATCATTCGCTCCCGCAGTCGGTGAGGGACTCCAAGTGCAAGCTGGTGTACTTGAGCAGGAACCCCAAGGACACCTTCGTCTCGCTCTGGCACTTCGCCAACAACCTGACGCCCAAGGACGAGGGCGAGATCTCGCTGCAGGAGTCGCTCAACAAGTTCTGCCGCGGCGTGAACGGGTACGGGCCTTACTGGGACCACGTGCTGGGCTACCACAAGGCGAGCTCGGAGACACCCGAGAAGGTGTTGTTCCTAAAGTACGAGGACATGAAGGAGAACCCGTGCGCTCAACTGAGGAGGCTGGCGGGTTTCTTGGGGTGTCCGTTCAGTGAAGAAGAGCTGAAAGAGGGGACAGTGGACGAAATACTGAGGCTCTGTAGTTTTGACAGCTTGAGCGGGTTGGAGGTGAACAAGAGCGGCAAGACGGCTCTAGGGCATGAGAACAAGTCGTACTTCAGGAGAGGCGAGGTTGGAGATTGGGTAAATTGCCTGAGCGTTGATATGGCCCAGAGGATTGACCGCGCTATGGAAGAGAAGCTGCGCGGCTCTGGGCTGAGGCTTTAGGGAAGTGTGTGTGGGTCTGTGTAATAAGAAAAAAATTATGAGTGCTCGTCATATTTGAGATTATTATATGAATATTCTACCTCTAGGTTTAATTTGGAGGACGGAATTGTTGAAAAATAATTACGGATTCAACTACGGCATTTACGTCGTGAAAAACGATGTTAAAAGACAAATGGATATAGATGAGTGCTCGTTTCTGATTTTTCTTAATTTTGTGAAAGCAATTTTGAAAGGAAAGTCATAAATAGAAGGACAAAAGGCACAAAAAATTTTAAATTATGCCCACTGTGACACATTTACCCTAAATTTTTTCCGTGACACAAAAAATTCCAAACTTATACCCGTGTAATACATTTACCCTCTGTCAAAATTCTGTCAATGAGAACCATTAAAAATTTACCTACATAGACGCCATAAAGCAAACGATGACGTGGCACTCATGTGGCTTAAGTGAAATAAAAACGATATTGTTTTGGCTGAAAAATCATCTAATGGAACCTTAACGGAGGGTAAATGTGTCATATAGGTATAAGTTTATAATTTTTTATGTCACAAGAAAAAAGTTTAGGGTAAATGTGTCATAGTGGGCATAGTCTGGGGTTTTGATGCCACAAAAATAAGGTTCATGATAAATGTGTCACAATGGTTATAGTTTGGGGTTTTTTTTGTGGCTTTCTCCCTAAATAGAAATAATGAGTAGATTGAGCATCTCTTGTTATGAAATTAACAATTATTCCAACACTCTTGATTCACGATGTTGTGGGGCCAAATGCGGATATATCACTAACCTTGTTCTCATTTCCTATGGTATTTACCGGGTCGCAATACTCGCGACATATATCAAAATTTGAAAGTTTTATCTATCGAAAGAAATAGGAGCAAAATTGAGATTAATATAAGTACAAATATCTATAAATAAATCAATATCATTTCTAGATATTCTTATGAAAACGTTTAGATTAATATTCTTATGAAAATGTTTATTCTTAAAATAGCATAAATAATAGCCCAGTATAATGTAAATGAGGTTTTAAATGAGGTTCTAAAATGGCAGTAAAATTAACCTATCCTAATCTTAAAAATTAATATCATTTTAAAAAGAAGTGTTTTCATAAGGATATCTATAAATAAATAAATAAATTTATTTATCTATGGTCGTACTTATATTGATCTAAGTCTTGTGCCTACTTTTTTAGATAGATAACATTTTTTAGTTTTTGTGTTTTCTTAATTAAATTTAGTTAATAACATAAATTAGGAAATTAAAATAACCAGAATATCGACCGAGTACTATTAAATGAGGTTAAACTTTTACTACTATAATGTTAAAAAGTTACAATCTACGTAAGTGGAATTATCGTAACATTTGTAGAGATAAAAAAGGTTAAAAAAAGGTAATAAAAAGATTGTATATTTTTATTTAATTTAAATAATGGATTGAAATGAAAAATATATATTAAAATTCAGGCAATAGTGTAATTATGAAAACTTGCGAATAGTACCGAAGGATGACTGTGAACATTTAGGAATATTTGATGGACTAGATTGAACAAATTGATAGCGTAGGGACTAGATTGAACATTTAGAGATAGATTAAATAAATCGAAAGTCTAATGATGACATTGCACGTGTCAAAATTTAGAAATGGTTAATGTCATTTTCCCTTATTCCTATATCAAACCTAGGGAAGATTGGTTTAGAGCTTTTGTCAAAATATTTTTATTTTATTTGAAAGATGCAAAACAAATAATGCACTCAAGTTGCAACTGTCTTCGACCAAAAAGAAAAAGGTTGCAACTGTGAAATGATTCGGTGAAACATTCATTGAACATTATGTTTCCTTAGATATTGGCTTTTGTGCATTGACGATTCAATTTTATTATCTTTTTTTTCGTATTTCGTAGGGCGGTCTATGTTGTTTAGGTAAATGTTTTCCATTCATTGAAAATATTATTTAAACATGGATGAAACCAACATTATATCAGCGGAAAGGAAAGCCAATGTCTCTTTGCTAACATAATACTAGTTAAGAATTATTGTACAAATCCTGGTGATTACGGATGCCCGTGAGAAAGTATGTCTACCCACTTTAGTATTTTTAATCCTTGTTAGTTGGTATTTAGATTTAATTAATCAATGGCAATTGAGAGACAAGTATCGGACAGTAAGAGTATCTTACGTTATTTAGAGAGGTGGGTAGGACTTTGATGTTCAAGTTTAGCGGCAATTCACCACCAACCAGTCCGGTGGCACAGTAGTGGTCATCCATCTTATTCTTGAAATAAGGAAAATTTATTACATGAATCGGATGCACACACTCCATATTCATTTGTACCATTGAAATCAATGGTTCTTGTTGCGTGCGCATAGAAAAAAAATTCGATACCTTCGTCCAGGGAAATTACCAAAGAAAAAGCATCAAGTTCGATCCGGATAACATATCTAGTTGGATTCACATTTATTCAAAAGTTATGTGCCAACTAAGATATATTAATTATTTTATACCACGCTATTTCTCCGATGTGAGACTTTTCAGACATACTCACACATACATTTTAACAATATGCTCTTCATGTGTGAGCTCGGTGTTGGGTCTTTCTCCCTTTATTTAGGCATCATTTTGCATCAAGATGTCTCAACCAGGATCTTCACTTTGTTGCCTTGTGAGGACCGCAACAATAAAACGGAAATTAAAACACTAAGTTTGTGGGACCTAATCTACAAGGAGAGCGGTACAAAATTCCTCTATAGATCAAGTAATAGAACAGAGATTAGAACTGCAATTGAGTTATTCAAGCACTCTCAATGTTTCTAGTTTTCAAATATTCCTAAAACCACATATGGTGTTTAGCCCTCACAATTTCTCACGAAATAATTTCTTAATCTCATAAAAAGAATTCACAAATTTTTATCACAAAATTTATTGGCTTTAACACCAAAAGCTCCTCTTGGATGCTCTTCAAAAAGAAGAGGCACTTCTTATATACATACATACACACACACACACAAGCATTTGATGTAAAATAAAATAAAAATCCATTTTTAGGAAATCTAGTCAAATTAGGAAACCATCTAAACTAAGAAACAACCCAAACGAGGAAAACCACTTAAATTAGGAAAGTTTCTTTTACGGGCTTACATTCAAGACATATTTTCAATAATCTCTACATTGGCTCAATGTTTGAGTCAAGTCACAAGTGCTTCTTTGAAAATCCGAATTTCACTGCTACTCTCCTACAACCTCTTAAGGGATTAACAACCACAAATTAAGATCTTCCAAGTCCAATCAACGAACTTTGCCATAACTATGGACTTCATTAGAACACTAACTGTATTTGCACATTTAGCTACTCCATAATGATTTTCCGACATAACCCCCTTAATCACAAATAAAGCAAAACGACCGTTGCATCCATATTTGTCAAGAGATTTAATACGCACCTTGTCAAACTCAATAACTACGCTAACCGTTGGCTCTATAGGATCCACTTCACTACAAGCATCATATGTATCAATTAGCACACTAATGCCCACTACCTCAGTATTTTCTAGTTGCAACCCCACCTTAAGCTAAATATTCTCTCGATTTGTATAAACATTGCAATAAACACTCCTATCTAGAAGCAGTGGAGAATCGTAAAATGCAACTTCTGTGTTGACGATAGGTGAATTTAATTTCGGGTACCACAACTGATAACCCAACTCACCTTGTGCATAGTCTATGAATATGCACTTTCTTGTCCTCTCATCAAGTTTACTATCACTCACTCAAACATAATACGGACAACCAAATATTTTAAGAACAAAATAATCATCAATATTACAAGACCATACTTCTTCGTTAGTCAAACATCCCATCGCAGTCGATAAATTTATTTACGAGGGATCTAACCGTACTAAGCACACCTAGTAGGAATGTCCCGATCATACCCGCACTAAAGCCCATTTATGGGTTATCTCTAGTAATGTTTTGTTCATCAACTCGGCAACCTATTGTGGTTCATTTGCACTAATGCAATGTCTCATTATACGTTCCTTCGCGTATAATTCGTTTAATAGCTTCGAGCATAACTACATTCTTTTGTTAGTCCGCACATGCTTAATTATCTTTTAGTCTCATTTTTTTTATCAAAGCTTTTAACTGTCCGTTCCTAACAATAGCATTATAATTGTGCCTAAGCACAAACACCCAACTTCTCCTCGAGTAGTGTTTACAACGATTAGCATAAATTTGGCACTCATTCTAGAAGAAAACCGTAATAACCTGCAAACATCCAAGTGAATTAACTTTGCAATCTCTTTGGTTTCTCATAGTCATACTAAACCACACTTTCTGCCTTTTACCTAAATTATAGTACCTACATACAGTTAGTTTCTTAGCCACATAACCATAGATTAGATTTCTTTCATTGAGAACGTTCAGGCTTCTCTCAACAATGTCCCCCAAAAGCATGTGCCATAATTCAAGATTCTCAAATAAATAAATCCGACATCTTCATGGCGAAATTCGTCACTATCTCGCCTCAGAACTCGTATAGGCCATTGTGCTTTATTCCTCTCATTATCACTAAGACATCTCGAACGACCTTGAGAATTCTATTTTTTGATATATACTAAAACTTGGCCAAATCCAAGACACTCAAGGAAATTGGGTTACTTTTCAATTCCAGAGCATGCCTCACAATGCCATCACGCATTTTGATATTGATATCTCTAACACCCACAACATCGTACTCAACATGGTTCCCCAACTACACTTAACCATGATCTGTACATCAATAAGTATCCTTATAGTTGTTCGGTTCATGCTAAACCAAACAAGAATTGGTTTATTACTTATTGACTTGAACAAATTTTACCACAAGATTTATTGGCAAATTTTACCACAATCTCGCAAAAGAGTTCACAAATCTACCACAAGATTTATTGGCTTGAACACCAAAAACTCCTCTTGGATGCTTTTCACAAAGTAGACACACTTCTTATATATAAACAACGATTTGATGCAAAATAGATTACCCTTTCTTAGGATACCTAGTCAAATTAGGAAACCATCCAAACTAGAAAACCCACTTAAATTGGGAAATTCTCTTTACAAAATCAAACTCAAGACATGTTTTGGAAACGTAATTATTCAAGCAAGTTGGGTTTTAATTAATATATTTGGCGAAGAATCAACCTACAAAAGTATACGTGAAAATG